TGTGCTTGATATGCAGGTTTGTGTCTGCGGGAAATACATTATAAAGGATGGTAACTTTTATAATCTGTCATTTTGAATGTCATTTGAATGTCATAAATATCTGTTGGATTTTCTAAAAAAAGTGTCTTTCTTCCGACATTACCAGATACAGAGGATATAATTCAGTTTTCCCACTGAAAGCAAGAATTATTTAAATTGATCTCTCTTTGCAAACAATAACCACTGAAAAAGTCTATATACCAGGTATTTTAGCAGTCACCAATAAATGGTATTTAAACTAAAAAAAGATAGTGTGAGACATCTATGTTCTTTTAAAGGTGAATGTACCATTTTCCTTAGGTCTGTTAAAACCTTCAATACAAATAGGAAAAGTTAATTACTTTGCTCTCATTATACTATACCTACCATTTCAGTTTTCTTCTAATCCACCTTCCTCCTCTTAACAACTCTTTAAAAGGTAAGATTCTAAAAGAAAATATTTGAATATTGATGTTTCTAGCCATTTATTTAAAGACAAGCATTAGAACTATTGAACTATGCCACTTTCCATAAAACCTGCATTTGCATTTTTGTGCTGTGCACTGAAGACAGTTTCCCTGGCTATCAAACTACCAGGCACAGAACTGCAGAGGGAACCAGTTTCAGGCAATTGCAGGAGACATCCAGTGAGTGGGTACATCTGTCCCAGGCACAACATGAAACAGATGAATTATACTTACACACGTGAGTATAGACATGAAGACACTGCACAGAAAAATGATAGGCATGTAAGAGAATATGCTGGCCTGCTATTACTTAAAATGAAGTCATTTCCATTACTATCAACATATTACTATCAACATGAGCATTTGGGAGAAGGACAAGTTCCCCCAGCTCCCAGACCATTGTATAGCACTAAACCAAAACCACTATTAGTCTTAGCACTTTCCAGCAGCAATTAAGAAAGATTATTCAGCAGCCTACCCTCTTGAAATTCAAAAGCAGTTAGTGGATAGCAATACTGTCAGTGCTTATTGCACAAATAAGCAATCTGAATCTGAGCAAATATGAATCTCACAGTTAATTTTCTATTTAGTTCTCTTTATCTATGTCTTCTTCAATGATTTTGACATTCTGCACAAAGTGCCTTCATTATCAAGGTATCTGCATGATGAAAACTGTTTTCTTTTCAGGAAAGTGACTCCAAAACCTTATTTACTCTTATGCTCTCCAGAGCTTATGTAATGTCTATCAACAGCATGAACAAAGCAAGTCAATAGCATTGTCTGTGATTTTTCTCCTTAAATTTATGTGTGTGTGATTACAAGCTTGCAGCTGTGAATGCTGCTAATAGGTATCACTTGAAAATGCTGCTTTCACAGGCAAAAAGAGGATGGGAGGAGAAAAGAGTATGGTTAGGAGCAAGGGAGGTAGGTGGGGTATGCTGAGTTGTCCTTAATGGTGTAAGACATAACTCTTATAAGAGGAGGTGAATTTGTAAATATATTTGGTTTCTCTAAGTTAAGTTAGTTTTGGTTTTCTGATTGTTTGGGGTTTTTTGGTTTTTTGTGGTTTTTTTTTTTTTTTTTTCTTTTTGAGTGTATGGTCTAGAATTAAGTAATCTTAAAGACCCTTTCTGGCCTTTGCTAATGCAGAGATTCATCAATTCTTAGGTGAAAAATTTTCTTTGCTTTTTAAAGAGAAACTCTGTTGCTTCTTAAAGGCTTTTTGGTTGATTTTAATTTTGGTTGGTTATTTGGGGTTTCTTCTTTCTTTGTTATGGATTTCATTTTTCCGTTTTGATGCAATTTTATTTTAATTTTTTTTTTCCCTGTTAATTCTATTGGTCATTGAGATCTGTTAGAGAGAATTAGGTGGCTATATCTACATGTGTGCATGGACTTGAGCAGTCTGGATGAGCAATAAGCTAGGTGATGGCAAGATTTCTAGCTGTATCATTCTGCTTTTAAATTATGTAAGGAGAGAGAAAGAAGGTGAATTGTTCATCATTTCTGTGGTGTGCAAGATAATGCCACTTTTCTATAGCAGCTGTTAAGAAAAAAAAATAGGTGCTCTAGATCCTCCATTTAAGCTCTGTTTTTAAAATACCTCTGGGGTAGTGGAGGTAGGGAGAGTGAAGGAATTTGAGAATTATAGATTGCTTTTTGATAAGAACAATTAAGGGATGAACTTTTGCCTATAGAGAACTTCTTGTTCATTATTTGCATAATCATTTCCTGAGTTTTTTAAAGAAGAAGTGATTTAGGATTAATATGTAAGAAACAGCAATACCTTCTCTTGCAGTGCTAGATGTATATGTTGAAGATGGAAGCCACTCTTCTGTTTAAAAGATCCTTATTGCTGCTTTTTGTCCCAAAAAAACCCCTACTATCTAAGGCATAACATAAATTCAGTGTGAAAGAGCAAGCTAATGTTAATATAATGAGGCAGAGAAAGGGTGAAATAAAGCTAGCATTCACCCAGTAACAGAAACAAGAAATTACAGGAAGGTATAAAAAAATATCATCATTACGTTATAAAGTGTCTGCATGTTGCAACATAGTAAAAGGAACTGCAGCCTTTCCCAGGGATACTTTGTTATGTAGCCTATTCCATAATGGTCCTGAGCCAGGCTGGCTGGTGTTCATTCCTGTTTACCCTAGCAAGTGATGCTCCAGAGTTTCTCCTGTGCCATTAGCTTTTGTGGAGCATGGCTGCTGGGCTGTTCCTTAACAAGCAGCTTTGAAGACATCTGCAAAACCCACATTTCTAGAAGGAGGACTGGTCTAGGAAATCACCCTCATATACACAACCTGTGAAACTTGGTATTTAAGCTTTACTGACCTTTACACGTAATGGTGTCCTTACTGTCATACTGAGTTACTGTGAATTCAGTGAAGGAATTCTTACCCCTTTGACTAAAGGATAATTTTGTATGCTTATTGATGCTTGCTCACTTCAGGTATGAGTTGGTATTTGAGGAGTTTCTCTAAATGAGAGCTGCAATTGCCTGAATTCGATGTTAGAAGACCAGGAATAGTCATTTTTGCCCTGAAAGCAACATACTTTCTCTTGATTTAGCACATTTAAACCAAAATAAGTTATTCCTATATGAGGTTGCATATCCATTTGAAACTAATTTAAATTAACTCCTTACATGGAGTCCCTAATAAAAATTTCAACAATACATCACTGCTTTTATTGAATTCCCTATATGGTGCAATAAAAGTATTCTGATATTGAGCCGGCTGATGTGTTATTGTACTGTTTTGATAGAAATAATTATCAGGCAACTACAAAATGTCGGCTAACTTCATAAACACATGGAATTTCAGTGGTCAAAGAAGCATATAATGCAGTGATTAGCCAATACAAAATAATGGAGCTTCTAGAGTCCAATCTAAGTCTGTTCAAATAGTGTCAGCACTAAGGCCGAGATAAAAAGGAATTTATTGGTAAGTGGATAATGTCATGCCTCTTATAGTGTTATGCAGATATTTTGCTGCACTTTGCACCAAGAAGCAAGCATCAGCTGTATTATAAGGTGTAGAAATCAATTTTGTATGTTATATCTAAGAGAGAAATTTCCAAATGGAATATGAAAAAAACTATTTAAAAATGTTATACTTCCTGACTACATCATAATATGGTATCCTTTTGTTAAAAGGTGAAGGGAGGGGGGAAAATTCAGGACGCCGTAAGGCTAGCCTTTGTGTGTACATGTGCTTAACAAACTTATTTTACAGTTGGCTGTCTCTAACAATATAAAATTATTTTTTAATATCAATTACAAGGACCCAGACTCCTATGAGGTACCTCTAGGAGTGAAAGCAACTTAACCCTGGGAACAAAGACCAAACCTGTGTTCGGGCACGTACTGGTTTTGTTGTGTGACATAGGTTATACAAATGCCTTGTTGTCCAATAGAGAAGTACATATGGCAATAACCAGGGGGTTTAGGTACTTTAAAAAACCCCCTGGTTTTTAAATCAACAAAGCAAATCAACAAAGCTTGGTCAAGCTTTGTATGAGTGGAAGTCTCTAAATATAGGCCTTTGGTGTCAGCTGAAGAAACAGTAAAGTTTAGTGTAACTGATGTGTATCCCCAGACTCAGCTTATCAGGCCTCACAAGTGTTGACCCCTGTATAAATGCAAATACAAGCAAGCTGGCTAAGCATGAACGGAGTCATGGCTCTCCTTCCTGAGTTTGTGCCTGAGCTGAAGCAAGCAGAGAAAACGGCTGATAGATCTTGAAGACAAATTATTCAGATATTAAATGCTTCTTGTGTGGCATGCCTTGATGTTTTGGGAGAACTGCTATGTGAAGCATGCTTTCAACTTCCTCTAGAACAGGGATACTGAGGGGCAACACTTGCTACTAGGGCTGAGTACTGACAGACGGCAGTACTGAAAAAAAACCCAAAAAACCAAAAGCAAACAAAACAGAAACCAGTTTTGTTGCGAATTGGAGTAGACTCTTTCACTTGGGGAGGGGACAGGACGCGACGCCGCAGCCAGCCGAACATCTGCAGGCGCCCCGTGAGGCTGAGGTTCGGGCCCCAGCGCGGCAGGGTACGAGGCACCCGCGGCCCCGGCTGGTGCTGGGGGCGGCTGAGGGGCTTCGCCGTGGTCCCGGTGCTCCGCAGGGGCCGGGCCCGCTGCGGCCCGAGCGCGGGGCTCCCCATTCCCACTCCCGCCGCAGCCACTGAGGGAGACTCTGCGCATGCACCAAACTACTCCTCTTGGGGGCGGGGATACAGCCCCGACACCCGCGGCGGATCGTACCACTGCGCACCATAGGGGTGGGCCAGAAAAGAGTTTTCTCCAAAAACTCGCTTATGAACAATCCTCCTCGACTTCTTCCCTGAGTTTTGTGTATAACTAAGGAAAGCTACCACGAAGAAGCGGGCAGGAGTCCACGTCCGCTCGCATGCTTTCTCTCCTCTTCCTTCTTTCCCTCTCCTCCCTCCGTCGGCGGCGAGTTGGGCGCGTCCCGCTGGCTGCCCCTCCCGCTGCCAAGGGTCCGGCCCGCTCCCGCTGCTGGCGGTCCCGGCGTCGCGAGTTCCCGCTCTCCCGCCCCCTCCTTCCCACCCTCCGAGCCGGCTCCGCGCTCTCCTCGGCTTCCCGCTCCCTGCCCACGGCCCCGGCGCGGCAGCCCCATGGCGTACAGTCAGGGCGGCGGCAAGAAGAAAGTCTGCTATTATTACGACGGTGAGCAGGGCCGGCGCGGGAGCGCGCGTGCAGGAGCGGGGGGGCGCCCCTCTAATGGCCGCCCGGGGCGGGCTGTGTCCCCGGCCGCCGCCGGCACGGCCGCCCCTGCCCCGCGGGACGAGATCCCCTTTCACCTGGCCCGGGCCGGTTCGGCTCGGCCCCATGGCCGGCGGGGGTCCCCGCCGCCTCCACCTGCGCCGCCGCGCCCCGCTCCCGCCGTCGGCTGTGCTGAGCCCCGTGGGGCGGCGGGGCCGGTGGTGGTGGAGTCGGGCGGGGCGCGGGTCGGGGAGCTGCCCGGTCTGCCGGGCCCGGGGCTGGGTGCTGTGGCTATTGTTGCCCACCCCGAAAATACCCACCACCCGCCCGAGCGCCACCCCCACACCCCCCTCTTCCCCCCCCCCCCCCCCCCCCAAAAAAAAAAAAAAAAAAAAAAGAAGAAGAAAAGTTGAGACACTCCCCTCCATCCGCTGAGCAGGGCGGCGTTGAAGCCGCTGCTGTGTCTGGCTCCTCCCCTGCAAAGAAAGTCCAGGCCATGTGTAGTTCTGGCACCTGGTGATTGTTGAGCTGCGGCCTTTCCCTGCCTCGGGCTTTCGGACCGCGGTCTGGGTACGGAGGGACAGGGGCGCTCTGCCCCCTCCGCCCCCATCCCCAGAGCCAGCACGGATCAGAGCAGAGCTCTGGCTCCCACGGGCCTCCTTTCCCGCAAAACGCGGAAAGTTGTGTGCGTGGGTGTTTAATAATAGTGGAATTTGAGTTGCATGCAGGCCCTCTGAGTTTGCACACTTGTATGATGCGGATACGGAGGCTTGCGAGCTGCATTGTCAGTCGTGGCGAAAAAGTGCTTGGTTTGAGATATTTTCAGCAACTTGTTTGCGGTTTTCTCTGGCCGCAGCAGCAACAACTTTTAGTTTTCTCCGTGAGCTTGAATTTATTTAGCCGTTTTTGTACTGGGAGGTGAGCTGGATGGGCAGATTAGTTGACAGATTTGATTAAATTGCCTCCTATTGTAACAATCTTGTACGGTTGCATCTGAGGCTGGTCTTGGTAGTAGCCAGGAAACAGAGGTTGAGGATGTTCAGCCGTAGACCTTTGGTGTTTTCACCATTTTGGAAGTGAAGATAAGTGGCTAAACCCACTCGAGATAACAAAGGTTGTGTTGCTGTAGCAAACCTGCTATTCTTTGGAAATGGCAGATCTTGTGGGGCCTGTCTTGGCTTTTTTTTAAACCACACTAAAGGAGGCAGAGTGGTGGTTGCCGCCCCCTTCTCTTTGTTGCTAGCACTGGTTCTTTGTTCAGCCTAAAGGGGAAAGGAGGCCCCTGTTAGGGATACTTCTGTTGAGGCTGGGATCTTACTTTTCCTAGGGAAGAGGAATAACTTTTCGCCTTGTTGAAAGAAAAACAACCGTGGTAGTTTAGAAGCTTTCTCTCTGAAAATATTTGCCTTTTTTAAAAGCAGTTTCCTTTTTGTTTGTTTTTTTTTTAATTGTTTTTTTTTTCTTTGATAAAATCAGGTAGCTTACTAGATGTTGATATGTTGTTTTTCTGTGATTACTGGATTTTGGTACTCGATGCTAGCATTAGATTCCCTTAACAGCCAAAAAATCTGTGCTTGTGAAGAGTGGGGAGAAACTGGAAGAGGAACAAGTTTGGAGGTGACAGGATAATGGTGACTCAAAGCAATTACAGTTCATCTGTAGACTGGGATAAATGTAGTTAATAATGTAGAGAAAATAGTATCTGTTGTGCCTTAAAATAAATATTTTATATGTGACAGAAACAGTTTTGGAATATTTTTGATGTCTCATTTATTTGTGTTGCCAAATCCACCAATTATTTTACATGTCTTTTGGAAAAAGGGTTATTAGAAGAAATTTTAGAGTTTATACCTAAAATAAATACCCTGATGCTACTATGTGGTTCATCTGACAATTCTGAATATTTCTAACTATTGTACCAGCAAAGCCATTGAATCACAGTGACGGGAGTGTTTGAAGCCTTAAATAACCCAAAACAAAAAAATACTGAGGTAGTGGTAGATCTCTAAAGGAATGTAATGTCTGAAGTAAATTTCCCCTTTTTTGGGTCATAATTGGCTCTCCACACATACTTTTACTGTTTCTTAAAAGTTACAGAGTAAAAAGTCTTGAAAATTTGCAAAAGCACATATGCTTGTCTTCTGAGATACAATAAACTTCCTCCTGCTTTTTGTGAAACTTGGTGAGATTGTCATTTAAGGTTGAATTTTTAAATTAGCCTGTCACTTTTGCAGTGTATTGCTGTTAAGGTGGTTTTTTTTCCTAAATCTATGCTTTTAATAGCCTTCATACTGTACTTGGAACCAATAAACTTTGAGTAGACAAAGCCTGATTTCATTACCTTGAGTTTGCTTGTAATAGGAAGTCAACCACATCCAGTTTGCAGAATCTTCATTGCTTGTGATCATGCTCAGGTCAGGAATTTGGCTTAAATTGAAACCAGAATACTATGGGGAAAACTAATTAAAATATGAATTAAAATACTGTTGTGATCTTACTTAAAGTATTTTTCATAAATGCTTCTGGTCTTGATGCAGCTTAGCAAAGTGTGCTCCTCACACTGCTTAGAACTGTGCTAGATGTGGAAGGCTATCATAGCTTTTAGTTTAGTCTTTTACCATGTGTGTTCAGGTTTTTGTCATGGTTTTGCAGCATTGTGACTCAGGTAGTTTAGCTCTTCCAAGGTGTTGTACAGTTGCCCACAGCAGTGAGAACAGGCCCCAGATGATCTTTCCAGCTCTGTGCTCCTGCACAGACCAGCACAGCTCTAGAGAATCGTGCAGCAACTGGTGTGGTTACTGTGAGTTGGTGTATTTATTCCATGCCAGTGCACTAGCAGTGTTGTTTAGATTGGTTCTTGTGCATAATTTAGTGTGGGTGTTCAAAAGGCTCTACATTCATGAAAAATTTGAGAGATCTGCATCAGTTTGTTGGTTCCACCCATAAAGACGAGACTAAACCTGTTTTAGTAGAGCAGTGTGTTACTATAGTGGGGCATTGTTTGAGTAGTACTTCTAGTTAAAGCTTACATCTGCAGATAAAATGAACTTGGGTGTTTTCTGGAAATTCATCAGTACTTTGTGCAGTGCCTTTCAAACATGGTGGTGGTGTCCAGTCTCTGCTCAGGGCTCAAAAGTCAGATTTTTGCTACTCTTCTGCTGTCTGCTTAACTTTAAAACCGGAACAAAATGCCCAATCCTTCAGAAGCTAGTGCCATAATTTTAGGCCTGTTTGAATAGCTGTTTGTTTGACTCATCAGGCATTGGTGATGTTTTATTTTACATTCAGCTTTACATGAGTTCACCCCTTTGTATCGCTGAAGTCAATTCAGTGTAACTGCTGCTCTTAAGATATGTTTTTTCCATGTGGTTTCCATTGTGGCAATTAGGTTTCTTTGCATAGTACAGTTCTGAAATACCTCATTATTTCATGGTAACTATACCTAAAATAAGCAGGATCCATGTACATAACAATTTATCAGTTAAAAGTTATAAAGTAATGTAACATACAAGTTACAAAGTATAAAAAAACTAGTGTGGATGTCATCTCTTGTCTCTTAAGTCAGTCACTTCAGACTGCTTTGTAATACATAAATTTAATGGTGTTATTTTTCTGTATGTCATAGTAACTGGGGAAACTAATACTTTTTTGGGGACATAGCTTTTGTTAGTTGTGTGGTTTGGGGCAGAATTAAAATTCCTTTAGGACATGTAGCCTCTTGTATTTTTTTGTGTTAGAATATTTTCTGTAGGCCTTGCTCAAGTCCTGGATAGACAAGCAGGTGTCTAAAACTGCTCATCAAAGCAATCATGGGTTTATTTTTATTTGATAGTTCTCATCATTTGGCATGTAACTTGCATGAATTGAGAAGAAAAGAAAATTAAAAAATAAATACATATATTGAACCCAAAGCATGACAATGTGTGTAATCATTTTCAGGTAGGTCTTCTGTATCACATAGTGAACAGTGTGGAGCAGTAAACTCTATAGTATTAAATGGGCACTTGGTTTGTCTCTCCTTAATTAAGAACTCAACTTTCCAGAGATTATATGTTGCTACTTCTCAATGGGAGCCATTTAGCTGGCACTTTTACTGATATAAAACACTAAATTTCAGTTTTTGAAGCCTGTGAAAGATTAATAGATTTGCAGACTTTTTACACATTTCACACATTTACTTTGCATTTTTTCCCTTCTCTTCCTCATTCAGTTCCATTATTTTTTTTGGTGTTTTCCATGTTTTCCCACACTGGTAAGTGATACACTGTACTCATAACTCTTCTGTATGATTTTTACTTCTATGTTAGTGAGAATTTACCTTTGTATTTGTAAGTATAAAGTCAAGTACTCATGCTATCTGCAGTAATGATCTTGTGAGCTTGGCTTCTCTGTACCCGTTCCTCATATATACAGTTTTATGTACAGTTTTAGTTAGAGTTACTCTGGCAGAGGTTTGTGCAGAGCTAATTAGCTCCATCAGTGAGTGAGGTGTGCCATCCTCACGCATACTAGCTCTTGCTACACCTTGCTTTTCTTCCCAAAGTGCTCTAGTAAGGCTGTGACATATGAAGAAGAGATATATAAATTTCAGGATCAGTGGATGGAGTGTTTGTACCAGGAAGTGCACCACATTCTTCACTAGGTAAAGGATGAGACACTTTTGACAACTTTATCTTCATCACAGTATGATGTCTCCATGATGGGTCCCCTTCATGATGTTGGTTGAAAAATCAAGGTACTAATGAAGAAAGAGGATCTTTGATCTTTTCCTTCCTCACCCCTGCCTACATAGGCATCACTAATCCCTTGATACTTGATGGGCTTTTTGTCCATATGCTTTAAGTTTTTTTTTTTTTATGAGGCTAACACCAAAACCTTTTTTTGTTGGTGATACTAAGACCTGAAAAATTAAAATGGTATTGTATTGCCTGTTACTAAAGTGTATTATATTGATATCTATTGTTAGTCACTATTGCTGGCCTCTAATACAGAAGGACCAGTATTCTTCTGCCCGATACTCACCTACAGATCTTCTGTTTGACAAATAAACTCCCATTAAATCTACCAATGTGCCAATTCTTTTAAAATTCTCTTTTCTGGTAAAAAAAAAATAAAGCTAAAAAGTGTGCTTGATTTATATAAATAACTGTATGCTGCAGTGTATGGCATATAGACTATGGATAAGCTAAAATTTGTTTAGTTGATTAATTGCAGTATATTGAAGGATGTGTTGCAAGTGTATTTAGGAAAATTTGTTAATTTTATTTTTTTCTATTTCATATGAGAAAAATAATATAATTACATCATACATAAGATATAAAATAATTCTTAATTGTATGCTTCCCCATCCATCAGCATTCTGAATAAAATGTCAGTGATGACTGTAGAAACTGAAGGAGTTAAAATTGAAATGATCTCTTAAAAACCTCCATTTTTAAGCCACAGATGCATTTGTAATGAAGTTCCCTCAATAATACCACTGTATTTATAATCATTATTGTCCTAAAAATCTCAAAATGTAAAGCTCTTACTAGTCTGAAGATTTTTTAAAATCTGGGACTTAACAGTAACTTCAAAACGTAAAGTGGAGCTAGCAAATGGTTGGTTTTCATCTTCTAGGCATTAGTTTCAAAGAGCTGTGATAGATTTTTTCCTAAACATCAAATATATAAGGTATTCTTTTGTAAAGCGCTTGAAAATGTTTTTGTTGGAAGGAAGGAGTTTATTTATACTCTTAATACTTTTTCTCTTGACCTGTGTTGGACCAAACCTATAGGCTTGCAATAAGTAACTGACAAAAAGTGCTATTCTTCCACTTAGTACCCATGTTAGAAAGTCCAAACTCTTCAAAGTTCTTAAAACTTGGTATTTCTATTGTTATGGGATGGCTAAGAGCTAGGTATTGAAGGGTAGTTTTTCTCCTTCTTCTTCTTATGGTACATTGGGTTACATCTGTTTTCTTAAGTGTCCTTACTCTCCTTGTCTCTTTGAAAAGTGAAAGCTTGAAGGATTTTAGAATGCTTTGAAACTTTTAATCTTACTGTAATACTTGTTTTTCTTGGTAGCTGGTGATGCTACTGCAAGCTGACATTTACCCTTCCTCCATGAAGCCCATGCTGAAGAGATGAAACTAAAGTTGTTTTGTAGTAGTGCTGCTTCTTACTTCTGACTGAAAAAATTTACAAAGTAGTATGACATTGTGAAAATAGTGTTTCTTTTGTTCCCAGTGGACAAGGCAGAGCATGTTGAAGGATGTGAAAGAAAAATAAAAAGTTCAAGAAGGTAAAGTTCAGCAATCCTATCGGGAAATTGGGTCAAAAAGTGAAGAGGTGTTTTAGAAATCTTCAGCTGAAAGCCATTGACAAAGCCATGGACTTAATTTATAAGCTTGTTTATATTTCCAGGGACAGTTCTGTTTAAAATGGTTCATGTGTTGAGAATGTCAGTGCTCAAAGTGGGGTTTTGTATGTTCTAACAATAGCTGAGCTCAGAAGAAAACTTACTACTAGCCCATGATAGCAGCTACTCCTTTCTTGGAAAAGAGTGTGAAATTTTTTATCTTAATTGTGTGCTTAGTTGGTTCCCAATGTATCAGGCTAATCTGGATTATAAGGTTCTTGTTAAATTATTGTGGATCTCCAGCAGCAGGTGTCTGGTGAAAGTGTGCATGTGGTTGCCACAATGGATCTGGAGTTTACTTCTGGATTTAACAGGGTTAGTAGATAAGAACAGGCTGAGGATTGTATTATAAATTCAGCTCATGCAAAATGGTAGATTTTATTAGGGCTTCTGTTAAACTGTGGGCTTCTGCGATGCTATGTGGCAATGTCATCAGTGTCTCCTCTTGATTTCAGTTCTGTTTCCCATTTTATTGTTCAGTTCTAGCCCAGTGTTGGGCCAGAACCTCACTCTTGTTTTGAAACCTTGTCTTTACATATATTTTTGCTCTCCCACTCCTGTCTGCTTGTAGTCAAAGTGTTAGATTTGGCTTCTTTTTTTCCCTCTGTTTCTGACATACAGCAGTTTTTTTCCCTTGTGTTCATTTTGAAGTATTCCCTTTGTGGGGTTTGTTTGTTTTCTGGAATCATACCTGTTTACTTATCTTCTGAGAATGATTAAGGGGCAATGGAACTTGTTTTGTAAAATGAATAGCTATTCTTTTGTGTATTATTGGCAGGTGATATTGGAAACTATTACTATGGACAAGGACATCCAATGAAACCTCACAGAATCCGAATGACTCACAACTTGCTGCTAAACTATGGCTTATACAGAAAAATGGAAATTTATGTAAGTATGGGCAACATGATGTCCACTGAAGCGTTTTAAGTTATTTTTAAAGAGCTTCAAGTATTGTCACGCAAGTAAGTGGAGAGAGGTGGAAGTGAAAATAGAGAATATGTAAATAGTGTATTCAGAGCTCTTTTGTTTAGAAGTGAAGCAGTATTTAATGCAGTTGTATATCGCAACAGAGTAGTCCTTGCTTTATGTAAAACACTACTAGTATAATTTTCCTTTCACCATTTTCCCTTCAAAGTAGGTGGGACTTCTTTCAAATTGTCTCTTTTAACACAGCTGATTTTGCAGAGTGCTCTGATTTGTTTCTTTAACTTGTTCTTGTTATCAGCGACCCCACAAAGCAACTGCTGAGGAAATGACCAAGTACCATAGTGATGAATACATCAAATTTCTCCGATCAATAAGGCCTGACAATATGTCTGAGTACAGCAAGCAAATGCAGAGATGTAAGTGCCAACATCAGGCTAAGTCTATGTGTACATGCTTTTATGGTTAGCATTGTTTGAAGCTCAGTATCCACCAGTACTGAGAAATTGTAACAAGAGTAAGTAGCATGTGCCTGCCTTTAGCTGCACTTTTCCATGAAAAGCAGCATCTTGACAAAAGTGTTCTTTAAGCATATATAAGGATTTTTACCTCTCACAGGTTGTATTCTAGATGTGAAATACTGCTGCTAATACTAAGGTTTGACGTGCAGATTGTGAACTGTTTGTGAAAGTGCCTTGAAATCTTGCTTTAAAAAATGACTTTTAGAATACTAGAGGAGTAAAAGCAATGTGTGAAAATGTGTTTAAGTCAAGAAAAGAACTCACTCCTCTTGGTAAAAATTAGTACATCAGTACTAATAGTAGTAAAAGATAGTAAAAATTGTACGTCATTCACTGTTCTCCCTTTCTATTAATTTATTCCTTTAATTATAGGAATAAGCTCCAAGTACTGTTAGGAATGCAGTTTGACAGCTATTATATCAATTTTAAAGGCAGTATTGTAACCTCTTTATGATGCCTTATTGCCAGCAAATTATTTTTCTAAGTAATTGTACTCTTTTTAACATGACCTATGTTAATCAGCATTTTTTCAAAAATCTAAAAATTATCAAACTTCTTCTTTCAACAAGGAGATAAACCTTCCAATAGAAACTAAAAATAATCTTAAAAGAAAATAAAAAAATACTAGTTTGGAGTTATGCTGTTTGGACTCTACATTGTTTTCAGTGTTTAAATTAGCCTGATAAATGAGATGGGGGATAAGTAATTAAAATGCTGAATGAATTATGCATCTGTGTTATCCACGTGTATATCAATGCTATTGCAATGGTATTTTTAAAAAATACTACAATTCTTATACAGTTAATGTTGGAGAGGATTGTCCTGTGTTTGATGGCCTGTTTGAGTTTTGTCAGCTGTCAACTGGAGGCTCTGTTGGTGAGTATAGGTTGTTTGCCAACTATTTTATAGCTTTACTGGGTTGATATCAGCAACTTAAAATTTTGGTTGTTCATCTAAAAATGAAGTAAATATAAGGGGTTTTCTATATATTTTAAAAATAATCCTATCAGTTACAGACTGTGAAATATGACACATATCAAGTATCTCGCTCAGTATCAGTAAGAGATTTGTTCTAAATCAACTTATTTAAAAAGTAAAATATGATTTTATATAGCAAATTTAAAGGCAATCAGAAATTTCTGACTCCATTTGCTTTCATTCTTCTGTGTGTCTTCTTACAGCTGGAGCAGTAAAATTGAACAGACAACAAACAGACATGGCTGTCAATTGGGCTGGGGGACTTCACCATGCCAAGAAATCGGAGGCATCTGGTTTCTGTTATGTCAATGATATTGTGCTTGCCATTCTTGAGTTACTGAAGTAAGTTTGTGATAGGCACGAGTTAAAGTTATAGAAAGTGTTAAATTCAGCTATTTAAATGTTTGAAGGTATGGATTGTAGTTACTATTTGAGTAAGTTTTCATAGCCCATGTTGAACTTTTACAGTTTCAATTAAGAAAGCTCCAAGCTCTGCCTGGTTTGACTTCAGCAAGATATTCAAAATAAAATACAGCAAACTGAAAAGATAACTAATAGGAGATAAATTCAAGCAACAATGCACCCTGTAAAACACCATATGCTGTAATTCTAGATGGTGGGGAAGGACTAGAGTAGTGGACTTCAGAAAGTGGACAGGCTTACTTGCTTTCTTTAAATATTTCTGTAAAGTCTCCCTTTGCTGCACATGGGGACAGAATAGTGGGCTAGATGGATCACTACCCTGATCCCTTAGGGCAGTCATTTGTACTCATAATCTTACACCCATTTGGTTTCACAATATCTCTTCTTGTTTCCTGTCAGTTGATTTGTTACTGAATCAAACAGGAATATTCAGGGAAGATCTTGCACTGAACTTCCTTGGATTATTACATAAATTAATATGACTAGTTTTAATAAATAATGAAGTAGCAGCTGTGGTGCTGTGACTGCAAAATAAGAAGTGAGGAATAATGAAGAGTGATCATGTAACTGACTTGAAACAGTAATGCTTCACTAAAATTTCAAGTCCTGAGTGTTGCTTTTACTGCTTCAGAGGACTGTATCCCTACTAATAACACATAAATCCCATTTATTAGAAAAAATGTTTAAGGTATTTCACTCTTGTGAGTAGGACAGCTGATTTTGCTGGTGAGGAATGAGGGAAGTAGCTGTAACCTGGAAATCTAGAGATGGAAAATGTTTCTAAAGACACTAAGATTAGTTAATATTAGCACATTAAGACATTCATTTTAATGGGCAACATATATTCAGGAGCTGTCTACAGTCTATGAAATATAATTTTCTGTGGTCCAATCTTGAATTTTTTAGCTTAATGTGCTTGTGAAGGAAGGAAAGAATCTTGTGAATAGTTATGAGTTGTGTAACCATGGGAAACTGTCCCTGAAATTATGGGTGCTCAAACTCTCAGTACTGTGCAAAGCATGATGAAAATGCATCTTCTGATGACAGACTTTCTTCTTTACTGGAAAACATAAAATTTAAGGGATACTTGTTGTTTCTAGTGCTCCAATGCTTAAAATGAAACACTGATTTCTTTATCCATCTCCAACTGTCCTGAAATTTGCAGTATTTAAGAAAACCATAGACAGTAGTGTAATAAATTTATGCAAATTAAAGTGCAATACATTTGAAAATAAGAATGTGCCTTTCTCTACAAGCTGGAGAGGTGAAGAAGAAAAGTCAGTGGAAAATAAGTATTTATTTTTTGCGAGCTTATGGAACACAGACTGTTTTGGTAATTACTGAGAAGGCAGAAAGAAAGGCCTTGGGGTTAATGAAGGGGGTGAATTCAGCAGATGTGAACAACAAAGCAATGTCAGCAGAAGCATGAGGTATAGTTTCTACGGAATGAGACAGTTTGGGGTGAATACTAAATTCCTTATTTTGATGAAGATAAACTTATTAATGTTTTTCAAATGTGCCAAGAATTCTAAGAGCGTATGGTCACATCAACCAAAATCATCACTGTGATCATAATCTTGGATTTTTGTGTCTGATTGGGGGGTTTTTTGTTACTGTTTTTCTTGTTTGCTCTCAGTATAACAGATAGTGATGATTTCGTATATGTTCTTTCTAGGTATCACCAAAGAGTGTTGTATATTGATATTGATATCCATCATGGTGATGGTGTTGAAGAAGCATTTTATACCACAGATCGCGTCATGACAGTATCATTCCATAAGTATGGTGAATATTTTCCAGGCACAGGGGACCTTAGGGTAAGGTTGAATATAAAATTTCATTAGGTGATAAATTCCCTCTTACTTCCTTCCTTGTAGATATTTTTTTTGCACTTCACTAAAATAAGTATGTCCAATAATGGTATGCAACAGTAAGTTTTCAGAAAAAATGTTAGCCTAGAGTGATGTATGAGTTAAGGAAACTTAGGAAAAATAATACTAAATAGTAGAGAACTAAAATGTTCATTTCTATGAAATTAACACCTTTGCTTCTGGATAAATATGCTGAAATATTTTTTCAATTATTATTAGTTTAATTCACACAGATTTTGGAGATGTCTCTAAGAAGGGACAATGTGGTATATTTATGATTATCTGTGCTACAGTGAAAAGTATCTGTTTACAGATTACCCTTTAACAGTCACGAGGCTTAAGTTACAGTTTGAATTTACCATGTTCTATTTGACTAGTAATACAGTTGACTCATGTTGGGAATATTTCTTATGTCATGAAGTGTGTTTTGAGTTCTCATGATGCTCACCACCTAAGAGCTTTAGCATGCCCCATGTGGAATTGTGTACTGATCATTATAGCTAGATTGAGAGAGGAGGGAGCATTTGCCCATGAAGAATTATCATTAAAGCTGTTGTAGAATATCTGGCAAAGCTGAGACAGGAAACCAGTTTTCCTGGCCCTTCATATTAATTTTAAGTTAGTCATTGCTCATGTTAGACACTTGTCTGTTAGAGCAGGAACTTGTTCCACTTCACAGCTTGAAAGAGTATTAGAAGTATTAGAATTAATATATTCCTAGCTTCAAACTCATAAATTAAATCTCTTTTATCAGAGGCACTCCTGGGATATGGCATTCCTCTGGTGTTAGCAACTTTGCACATTAGTTTGTGCATACAGTTAGAAACCTTTTTTAAAAATTGTGAACACTTCTAACAAGTTGGCCTGCAAAAATGCTGTTCTGGGAAAGAATTCACTGTTTTCCTAATATATTTAAACTGATTAATAGGATAACAAATATTCGTGTTTCAACTAATACTCCTGAAAATTGTGTTTCCCAGCCTGTTGATGATTCCCAGAAGGCACAGGAGTGAGTGGAAGTTGAGCAGTGGGGTGCAAAGCATTCAGTTCAGTGTAGTTGTTGTTGCTGAATGTTATTATGGTTGTTAGATTCTATTAAACTGTGTTCTAAATTGATTTAGGAAGAAATCAGATTATTTTTATTTGGGTGGTTTAACTCGACTGGCCACAAGGTGGGGTAGTGGTGCTTCAAACTAAACAGCTCAGACCAGGATGTTTGTTTATCATGTCAAGCTGTTGTTGCTGAATTTGGCTAGATTTTTTTTTTTTTTTTGGAAGGGTTAGATATCTTGGTGTTTTAGAAGCAGCACTTCCCGTTTACAGGGAAGTTTGTGGACTCTTCACCTCACCACACCCAGAACAAAGAATTAAAAGATAGCATAGTTGAAATAAATGGAAGACTATTTTATGGGTTTGGGGATTTATTTTTTCAGCAGTGTCAGTGAAAAACAGTATCTCAGGCATGGAAACTTTTTTCCTGAGCTGCTAGTTAGGGTTTTGAAATGAGCATTGTCTGCATGCAGGCTCTAGCTGGCTTTAGTGCGATTATTGCATCGCCATAGGGATTTTTCCTATCTCCAGAGATTGCAAAGCTAACTGAACTGAAGGGAGAGCTAATTCTCTGAAAAGTCAGTGCTTCCTTCTAGAGGCCAGTATTGTGTTGCTTCCTTCTGCCGAACTTGATCTGCCGTTGATGGTTATTTTTATCAACTTTTCCAGGCAAATCTCTTTGGTTTTTTTCCAATGGGCTGTTTTACAGCTTGTTTCTGTAATTCTTTAGTTAGCTGATGTAGTTTGCTGATCAGGTTACATTTATTTGATGCGGGAGCATATCATGTGTCAAAGGATGATACTGTGATTGCAGCTCTGTCAGTGTAGGTGAATCTGAGGTTTTCTAGTTCAGCAGCTTTCATCCATTTTCTGCTGAATATGTTGTTCAGTCTAAACTTCCAATGTCCTCATTAAGTTATTTGGCCTTTTGCATATCTTGGATGATAGCACAAATTTTGCCATTTGTACACACAGATCAGTTGAGACCATAGTTCTCCATAGTGGCCCAGGTTCTGTGAGGCAGCAGTTTGATCTGTCGGTGAATGGGAGGCTACCAGAATGCTATATTGTTTCTTTAAGTTTTAAAACTATGCAAGCATCAGCTACAGCAAAGGTCCATTAAGTAGCTCAAATTACTCTGTTTAGATGGAAGTTGTCGGTACATTTGACTTTGCTGTGTTTTAGGATAAGATCAATTTAATGATTTTTGGTTTTTTAATCAGTAAAACAAGACAAGGAGAGGAATGACCTCATGAACCATTATAGGTTAGGTATTGACTTGCTGGAAAGCAGCTCTGTGAGAAAGAGGGCTCCTGGTGCACAAGTTAACCATGAGCCAATTGTGTCCTTGTGGCCAAGAAGGCCAATGGTATCCTGGAGTGCATTAGGAAAAGCATAGCCAGCAGGTTTTGGGAAGGGATTCTGCCCCTCTGCTCAGCCCTGGTATAGCCAAAACTGGGGTGCTGTGTCCAGTCTGGGTTCCCCAGTATAAGAGAGACATGGAGCTCCTGGAGTGAGTCCAGTGGAGGACAACAAATATGATGAGGCAACTGGAGCACCTCTCTTAGGAGGAAAGGTTAAAGAAGTTGACCCTGTTTATCCGGAAGGAAAGACACAGAGTGGACCTCATCAATACTTACAAATAGCTCAAGGGTGAAAGTCAAAAGAATGGGATCTGGTGAGTAAGGGGCAATGGACACAAACTGAAACACAAGAAGTTCCATCTGAATATGAGGAAAAGCTACTTTAAGGGTGACAAAAGCACTCAAGTAGTCCAGCAAGGTTGTCACGTCTCCTCTGCATATACTGAATGCCCACCTGAATGTGATCCTGTGCAATCTGCTTTATCAGGGTGTTGGACTAGATGATCTCCAGAGGTCCCTTTCTACAATTCTGGCCATTCTGTGATCACCTCAGAAAATTCAGCATGTGAAAGTCTAGATGATTCACTCTGGGAAATTCTGGGTAACTTGTACTTCAAATCAGGCAGAGTTGAGTTCAGCAGGGGTCTTCAGTGTCACACATCTTGCAATACTATGAAATGTTAGTAATGTGTTATGGCTAAAAAAAGTCAACTGTTAACATTGTGTCTGTGTTTCGCTGGGCCACTTGTCCCCCTCCTCATCTTTGTCCTTTCCCCCTCACACCCTCAGTAAAAGTTGGTTACTGGAAGTGGCACATTCTTGATACATTCTCTGCTAAGGAGGCTTTGTTCAGGAATAGGGAAAAGTCAATAACTTTCAATAGGTAGTGTTGAGAAGTTTAGTATTTGTGTTGTTGGATTATGCTACACATGACCTGGAGTTTTTCTAGGATATTTCTGTAGAACTGCTGTTTGCAGAAATAGCTTACAGTCAGACTGAACAGGTTAATTCTCACTGTCTGCTCCACTTAAATGCTCTGCATTGCTTTCTGTCTATCTGTGTTGGTGATGAAATATATGGAAGAAATGGGAATGTGTGTCAAGCTGAGATCTTTAACTTTTAAGGCGATCATAAAATAGGAGTGGTCGGATTCAGGGTGTATTCACTTGATTTTTTTTTTGTTTGTTTTTTTTTTTTTGTTTGTTTGGGGTTTTTTTTGCAATAAACCTGTTCTCTTAATACATAGGTTGTCTAGGAAAACTGATAAGATAAACTACTACAGTTCCTGGCTTGACCCCTGATGGAACTGAGAATAATTTGCATGTTTGTTTTTTTGCGGTTTTTTGTTCATTTAAGTCATCTCAGTTTCTTCAAGAGCCCTTCTGTAAGTGGCCCCTATTGAATTTTTCTTCTCTCCCTTTTGATGCAGCTACTTCCTCATCCTATGTTTAGGGCAATAACATGGTTTTAAAAACCTATCCAAGACCAAATCTTATATGCAACACTGAAAATATGGACCTTGCTCTTCTTGGTTTTCATAGTTTTGTTTGCTTAGCTATTATTACCAGATTAAACTGATTGGTTATGATTTGTCTTTTTGTCTTAAATCTTTGAATTAAAAAATTGAGTGTACTTATTGCTATTTTAATCTTGGTGTCCAACTACTGCACTCTAAAATGATTTTATGGGAGAACAGGAATTGAGTAAACTCTTCCTCTTATCCCTCGCAGACATGTGTAATGGTACAGAATAGCTCAGCAGACTTGTGTAGGCTTTTTTTCATGATACCATACTATGTATTTCTGTGTTTTGTATTAAAGCATTTGTCATCTTTGCTTGTAGGACATTGGTGCAGGAAAAGGCAAATACTATGCTGTCAACTTTCCAATGAGGGATGGTATAGATGATGAATCGTATGGACAGATATTCAAACCAGTGAGTGCTTTCTTTTTTGTTTTTAAGCTCTCTGAAAACTACTGGTTTTTTGTTTTCATTATGTCAGTTAATGACTCACTGTTTTATATTGATTATAGATTATATCTAAAGTAATGGAGATGTACCAGCCCAGTGCTGTGGTATTGCAGTGTGGAGCAGATTCACTGTCTGGGGACAGACTGGGATGCTTTAATCTTACTGTTAAAGGTAAGCAGAGAAGTGTCTGTTTGTTGTCTGTAACTTTTTACTTATTAGAAACCTCTGCCCTTCATACTGTTTTTCAAGACACTTGCATGATGAGGACTGGAGTCACAAAGATTTTGTTCATTACTATGATTAATCACTTCTTTCTTTGCTATACAGGGATGGCCAAAAGAAACGCAGAAGTTGCCACTTTCTTTTTGTCCATCTAAAAAAGTTAAGAAGCATGTGCTTTTCCATGTGCTTCCTAGCCACTCAAGTGATTCCCTTTCTTCAGTGTACAGGCTTTCTGTAGCTTTAAAAGTGTCCTGGAATGACAGGACAACAGTCATCTTACAACTTACAAGGCATCAACACTTACAATGATGGGCAAATAAACTAGTTAGTAGTCAACTTAGTAGGACTACAGATGCTAAACATCAAACACCTTGTTGGGTGTAAATAGGTATTACTGAAATGACAATACTTCACTGCATTGTTAAATTTGTAATGGTGTTTGTTATACTGAGCTATATGTTAACCATAATTTTAATTAATTCTCATGGAATTCATTTATTTTAGTATTACCTAAGTTGCTGTCTGCAATTTTAATTCTCTAAATTGGGATGTTATTTAGCAAGTAGCAAAACTGTTACTGTTGTTGTTGTTGTTATTGTTATTATTATTGTTATTATAATTTTAAATGACAAAATAATAAATGTATGACAAACTGTTGGTATGCCTTCAATCCAGCCTGTTTAAATCATGAGTTTTCTTTGTTTTATGTTTTTTTTTTAATGTGACAATTAGAGTTTTGTAGGCAACAAAATGCAGTATAGTATCTGTTGGGTCTGCAGTGTTTCAGGTTCTTTTCTTGATTTGCACCAGGTGGCAAAGCTACTTCAGTTGCCCATACAGCTCAGATTTTTTCCCATCTTACATATCTTGGAAAGCAAGAGAGCTGCTGCCTCCTACAGATGCCTTTCAGTATGCTGTATCTCCCTGGAGTGTGTACTGTCTTTGCACCAGTTCACTCTGTAAGCAAGACTTAGCAACCACTAATACAGGTTCAAGTTTAGAAGTAGGAAGGACCAAGTACTGATTTTGTTTTCCCTTCTTCCCCCATGGCATTTGACTGAGAAGTTGTCCCTAAATTTGTCACTGTGTATGACATCAGTTATGAAAAGACGAAACACTTACTCTAGGAGCATTTCAGAACAACAGCAATAAACCATCATGCAAAGTCTCTGAAGCCTGGGGTAGATGATGTTCACTGTGTTTTGTGCATTTCTAATCTGTAGGTCTTGACTCCTTGTGAGGTTGTGCTTAGGTCTAGGGGGAAACATCTCTGTTTGAATCAATTCAGTTCTTACTTGTTAAGTGTGACTGCTTATGTCTGATTAAATAGTTTGTTATATATTTTTCTGTTTAATAGATATCTTGCATGTATTATCAACCCTCTTTTTGTTTGCAGGTCATGCTAAATGTGTGGAAGTTGTAAAGACTTTTAACTTGCCATTGCTGATGTTAGGAGGAGGAGGCTACACAATTCGTAATGTTGCTCGATGCTGGACATATGAAACTGCTGTTGCCTTAGATTGTGAAATTCCTAATGGTAAATATTAATATTTTATATATAAACAATCATGGGAGATTTTAAGTAAACAGCAGATATTTGTGTATCTGGCTGTAAAGCATCAGTTTAGAATAAACTAGGTAGAAAATTATTGCTAGTTTTAGCCATAAATTTTCAGTATCTTATGCACCAAATAAACATAAGTATTTAGGGGGTTTTTTTATGCCTTAGCAAAAGCTTTAAATGACTGAATCACTTTTTGAAAATTCAAAATACAAAACTTATGGAACCTTTCTTGTAAGTATTTCTAGTATGAATATCATCATTATGAAAGAATATATACTGCATTTTGATTGTACTGGTGTCAACCTGTAAGTTGTATAACACATATGGTGTACCTAAGAAATTATTGACTGTGCAAGTGTCCATTTTACATAGCAAAAGTACTGTTTCTTCATTTTATCTGACAAAAGTAGCTGTGAAAGTGTATTGACTTCCACTCTTCCATTTTACTCAATTTTGGCTAAACAAGCTGTCTTAAAATTTAAAACCGCATAAAACAAATAGACTGCTTTAGAATACTTAAATACTGAAGTAATTTCTCTGAGGAAGATCCCTAAAGATCCTGAACTCCTTTTACTTCTGACCAAATATGCTCCTGGACATGCTTTTGGAATGTCATTTACAGAAAATTGCTGTTTGGAGTGATTTGTTGCAAATGAGTCACTGCCGGTTTGCGTGTTGAACAGCAACTTTTGTTGATAACTTGTTGCTGTTCATGTATCTCTTGGTGGATTCAGTGTTTCTATCTGACTTCAGCAGAATGCTTCTGTCTGTGAGAAAAGACTATTTGGAATGTGCCTTTCAAGATACATATTTTTAATGTCAAAATATATTCTTTGTCAGCCAAAGCTTTTGAAGACTCAGTAGCAGTTCCTTATCTTGGGACTTCTTTTTTCCATTAGCATCTCCCTTTCAGTGGATTACATATATATATGACGGTTTTTGGATTTTTTTTTTTTAACATTCCTCTCTACTTTTTGTGTCCCTGTCATCTTTAATCTGTTCTGAGAAATAGCCGTGCATTTCTAAATGTTGCAATAGCTGCAATGTCTGCTCTCTATCCACTAACCAATATGATTTATCCTGTAACAATCATAAAGGAAGAAAGACAAAAGGCACAATTAAAGATGGATTTCAGTGTCTTATTGCTTAAAGGTTCTCTGGATTTTTTTTTATATTTCTCTTACTTTATCTGGAAAGATACAGATATATTCAATACAAAATACTGCAAAATATAACAGTGTAAAATAGCTGTTGTCTTGGCTATCTAGTCTTCATCAACTTCATTTTGGTGGTTCGGTGTTCTAGTCAGGGGACCTTTTTCTGTGAAAATGCTAAAAGTGGGGTAAGGAGGGAAACAGACAGACTGAACCAGTCAGCACCACTGAACCAATGTCCAGCACTTAGCAAGGATATTGAACTGCCTAATTACAAGTATTAAAGCTTGTCCTGAAGGAATATTTTGAATGGCTCACTTAAACCTTTCAAACTGGACTAACTTTGAAAACACCTACAAGAAATCATCAATTAATCTTCTTTTTCCTGCAGAAGTATAATTTTTAATTATTTTTTCAAAATTTTATTGAGTTTTTCAGTGTGTAATTGCAGTAGATCTTTCTCTTTGCATTTTGCCAGCAAATTTAAGTTCATGTATTGAATAATTTAGAGGAATATTGCTGAGGAGTCCAGATGATAAGTATTGCTTGTTTGAATGCTTAGGGTTTTATGGTTCTCTAAGTAAAATCCTGTTAAATCTACTGTTGTATTTAAAATGTTTAAAATCTCTTTTTGGGTAACAAAGTTGTCCTTGTGTTTGATTTATAGAGTTGCCATACAATGACTACTTTGAGTATTTTGGACCAGACTTCAAGCTTCATATTAGTCCTTCAAATATGACTAATCAGAATACACCAGAATATATGGAGAAGATCAAGTAAGTAATGATTATCTTATCTATCAAGTAGGTCATGTAGATCATGTTTCTCCACAGGTTTAATTATTAGGCAGTTTTGAAAACTGTATGCCTTTCCCTGTTCACTAAAAATAAGTACCAGAATAGAGCTGACGTGTTTTTCATTTCTGTCAGGGGTTTTTTGGAAGTCTCTTCCTCCAACAGAATGCATGCTTATGAAGTCTTATGACTATAAAAATGAAAATTTATGACCCAGCTTGGATTTTTTCTTTTTCCAGCATATGAAAAAATGACTGTTTTACTTAGATTCCCATTCTAATTTTGCAGAAACTTCATCCTGCCAGGAAAGAAGCTGGTGTGCCATGATGACTAGGATTTCTAATTCTCAGCTCCATGTCTAAACATGGACTGAGAATGTTATTCTTTGTAGCTGTCTGTTGCAAAAATAAAAAGTCATATGTGAGCTCGAAAATCCAAAACTCTGGAAAGACAGTGATATGTGTGCAGGCAGTTGATTTGACAAATCCACAAGATTCGATCAGTGCTCATTGATAAGCTATGGTGGTTGTGTATTTTTAGGCTGTGCCATTTTTGATACTTAGTTTATTCCTCCTCTCATCTCGACATTTTCACTGGAAACAAATATTTTACTTCAGGGGTGAAGTAATGCATACATAAAACCAATTTTGTGCTGAACTGGTAGGATGCAATTGGTTAGCCTGAAGTACTCTTGGCTTACTGTGCTTTGTCCTTGCTCTGAGTTTAAAAGAATGAACTTCCACCCCTGCCCCAAGTTTTAACTGGCTGTTAACGGTACAAATTCTTTTGATAATTAAAAATAGCTGAATAAAGATGTGAAATTGCATGTATAAGTTTGCCAACATCTGCTATAACCTTTAAAACTGTCAAATTGCAAATTTCACCAAAGCTGTTAAAATACTAATTTTTAAATGATTGGTATACAGACTATGATGGGTGTTCGTAGCACAACTATATCAATTACAGTCAAATGAAAGGATTTGCACCAGGTGGCAAATAACCAGATGTTATAATGTGTGATGGGAGAAAAAGCCCATTTATTTTTTGTTAATATAATTGTACAAAATTTCTCAGCAGTAATGTAGTTTTCCAGCTGGTGATCTGCCAGGCTGCTTGCTGTATGGTATATATTGTTGAACTTTTGTGGTACAAGTAGGCTGCAAAACTTGCTTCTACAATCCCAGGCAGAGATTGCTCTCTGTCAATAGAAAAAACACAGTCTCACTGTCTTGTACTAACACCCACAAGATCAAAGACTCATTTTGGAGACTCCTCCTTCAGTTCATTGTGTGCTTTCACAGACACCTGGCTTTAGGGAGCTCCCATGCATGGCAAAACTACTTTGCCAGGTCATGTGATTTAAACAGCTGCAGAGACTCTAATGATTCAAAAAAAGCACCAGTTACCCTTTAGCCCTTCAAATTGTGTAGAAGAATGCTAAGATAATTGTTGCAAATGCTGATATTTGATGCTTCCCAAGCCTGCCTTTCTACTTGTACTTTGGAATGATAGTTTTGAGTCCCAAAAGAAGCCCAGTATCCTCTTTTCTGGCACATGGTGCTTTGGAGTATATACTCTATCAGGCTGCTTAGACAGGACAGAACTTGTCTCTGTTCTTCCTGAAAAAGCCAAAAAGGAAACATATCCAGATGAATTAATTTTGTCATTGCTGCTCACAGTTGGGAAGTCTTCATGCTTTTAAGTGTCTGACTGTTTTCTAAGAAATTAGAGAATAGTGCATTTATCTAACTTAATACTCTAGCTTATTACACAGTAGTGCTGACACCCGTTTAGCCCACATGGGCAGTACTTGTACTTGACCCTGCAGAGAATTAACAATGGAAGTTGATTGAAATAAGTATCTGTAAAGTACAAAGAAGTACACTGTGGATACTAATGATCTCATAGGGATGGAAAACTTCCTGAACTTGGCAATCTAATTTTTTTAATTGAAAAATGAAGCTGACTCTAAAGCAAAGCCAGGTTAACTTTGAATGCAGAGTTCAGACCTTCATAGAAATCCAAGGAAGTGCTACTTCTGTGTAGTAATAACTTCTCTTGTCTGTTACTCTCAGGCAACGCTTATTTGAGAACTTGCGCATGTTACCTCACGCACCTGGCGTACAGATGCAGGCCATTCCTGAAGATGCTGTTCATGAAGACAGTGGAGATGAGGATGGAGAAGATCCAGACAAACGCATTTCTAGTAAGAAATTATGTTCTTCATGATAGAACATGTCTATAGTTGTTATGGATTTAATTGCTCAGAACCTAAGTTGTAGTAATGTGCAGTATTGGAAGACTGGCACTTCTGTTTACTGAATAAAAAATTTTGCCTCCGGTCTGCCACTTTTGGTGTTTTTAAGGTGGCATCCACATGCACATTTGAACCTCTTAAAGGGTCTAATGAAGTGCTGGAAGAGCCCTGTCTTTTTGCATCTTGTGGAACAGCATGGCTATTTCAAATCTATAATAGATATTTCAGAAGGCTTCATGAGTATTAACTAAAGAAACAGTAATCTACTTTTTTTGTGACTAACAAAAGACAGAAACTATGTTTCCCTTTGAGGTAATATGAGATACAATGTTTAAAGGGAAAAAAAGCCTTTTCTCTTCTTTGTTGTGAGACAGATTTTCCATATTTGCAACACTATCCTTGACTTTATAAGTCATACCCTTTCCATGAACTTTGAGTTCTTCTTGAGCTACGGCCAAGAGTTTCCTGCTACCTTTAGTCTTTTTTGATGGAGATTAGAATAATTCTATAACCTCTTATTAGTGCACCATCCATTTGCTGAACTGTTGAAATAATTTTTTCTCCTGTGATTTAGTTTTCAGTATTTGAAGTTTTATTTGATACATGGTTAAAATATTCCCACCCTCCCCCTGTGTTTCTGCAAACCTGTTTTTTGGATGTTATTGTGTGAGTCTCAGGGTATCTTGAAAAATAAGTGGTTTTGACTGTAATTTAGTTTATCAGCATTAAATGATTACAGTATATTACTACTCATTCTTAATTTGATAGTTTTTTATTAGGCCTGTTGTAGTTGGACTTTTTGATTAATTAATGCCATAAATCTGAATCCTAGTTCGGGCGTCTGATAAGCGCATAGCCTGTGATGAAGAGTTTTCAGATTCTGAAGATGAAGGGGAAGGTGGACGACGAAATGTTGCAGACCATAAGAAAGGAGCGAAGAAAGCCAGAATAGAAGAAGACAAAAAAGAGACTGAGGACAAAAAAGCAGGTAGGACTGCAGTGAGGTTTCATCCTGTATTTTAGAACTGCAAATGTCAGTCCTGCCAGCAGAGAGATGTTTTATCTGGTAACAGTTAATTTGCTATTGAGATGACATATTCTTTTCCATCATTTTCAAATCATCTATTTTAAATTAATCAGTTTCAAGATACAGTTATTCAGACTAGTACAATATTTTCAGGCAAGGGTTATTGTTTCTTCCCCACAAGTTGAAGTCTTAGAGCTAGGGATTTGTATGACTTAATGAAAATAGAGATGAAAAAATATACGTTGGACAAAACATTTTTTCCTGTTTGCTTTTGTGGGGTAAGCCAGCTGGTTTTCTCTGAAACAGAAACCAGACAGGCTTCTGGGGACAGTGTAATTCCAAGGACTCTTGATTTTTCTAAGAACTGGATACATCTTGATCTCAGGGGAACTCAGGATCTCATTACTGCATGCCATCATTATGGCCAGTGAGAGAGACCTTGCCTTGAGGCATTCTGAATCACTTGGCATTGTGCCCAGACCTCTCCTTTGGATGGGTGCATTTAACACTACACTTTAATATGTAACTAGTGACTTCTTTTAAAAGCCAGTTTCCTCTGGCTAGAAATACAAACAAAATAATAAACGTGGTCATGGTCTTTACCTCTAAAGTATTTTAAGGCTTTCTTGCATCTTTTGGTGTATTTAAAATCTTGTGATTTTTCAGATGTTAAGGAGGAGGATAAAGCCAAGGACAGCAGTGGTGAAAAGACAGATGCCAAAGGGTAAGCACTAATTAATTAATAATGACATTTTGTGCAGAGTGTTTGTTAAGTCAGTACTGTGTCATATTTTTCAGGTCTGTGGAGATCACTTTCAGTTCCTCATAATACTAAATATTTTAGAATTATGACTAGTAATTTAAAATTGCATTTCTAAATCAGTTAATTAAAAAAATAAAACAATACTTTTTTTTGCCTTTGTACAGAGCAAAATCAGAACAGCTCAGCAACCCTTGAACAAAAGATAGCCTCTCATCAGTTGCAGAACATAATACTAGAGTCTGAGAATACCCAAAAGGAGAAAAGTTTTCGTATGGAGAGAGACTGCTGATTTCATTTTGTACTATTTGGCATGGACTGTATTTATTTTCAAACGGCTTTGTTCTGTTTTTTGGCAAGTTGTATTGTGAGTTTTCTAATTATGAGGCAAAAATTCCTTTCTTCACCATGCTTTATGTAATAGTATTTAAAAATGGATGTGAGTTATTATGTTAAATGTCTAAACTGATCTATTAAAGTAATTTGCCTTTCCTGAGCTGATTTTACCTTTTTTGTAATTTTATCTTTATTAAAAAAAAAAAAAAATTGCACGTGGTTGTCTTTTGTCCATCATTGCCCTCCAAAGAGGAAAAACTGTATAAATTAGGCAGACTTATGTGTGAGTACCTAGTGAGTTTAAATGGGCAGCTGGCAAACAGGCAAGTTGAGCTGTGCTGCTTTCCTTGACTCCTCACATTCCAGCAGTTCCTACATGAGGTGCAAACACATGTATGGGTATACAAGTGAGATTTGAACAGGCTGAATAAACTGGTGAAGGGATGCTGGAATAACCTCATTGCATGAACTCACATTTTAATGTGAATGTTTAAAGCTCTGCAGTCACATGCCTTGTACTGTCCAAGAACACTTCTCATCATCACAATCTGCCTAAAAAAATTATTCATTTGCTGCTCATGAAATCAGTGTATGGTCATCTTGCAAAGCTTGCAATATAGCAAGAGAACATTTGGATTTAACTTAAAATTCATTATAGTTTTTCTACAAATATGAGCAACATAAAACTTTTTCACCCTCACAGAGGAAGGATTTTACTGCCTGCCCCCTTCATTAATTCGTGAGTTAGTTCTGGTGCCCAAATTGAAGAGACCTCAGTGTCCCCATTCCCCATTTTTTTTTCTCAATCTACAATTGTCTTACAGGTTAATATTTAATGAAATGTATGTTTTGAAATCAAGATTTCAGAGCAGTGAACACAGAAGTTAGCAGAACTGCACTGCTGCTCAGTCTTTTTTCTTTTTTTCAAATATAAATTTTTCTTGCTGCTTTTTTAACCTATTTTCTCTCTGTGGTTGTGGTATATGTTGATATGGTGCCTGATGCACCCCAGAACAAAGCTTACCTTCCTGGGCAAGCTGACTCATGTTCCACTTGCCATTGACCAGTACCCCCTGATCCCTTTCCACAGCACTGCTTCCCAGCATCTCATTGCCCAGTCTGTCTGTGCATCCAGGCCTGCCCCAAACCAGGTGCAGTATCCAGCACTTTCCCACGTTGAACTTCATGGTTAGTGATTGCCCAGTCCTCTGATTTGTCGAGGTCTCTCTGCTGGGCCTCCCTGGCCTCGAAGGAATCAATAGCTCCTCCCAGTTTTTTATCATCTGTGACCTCCCTTAGTGTCCCTTCCAGTCCTGCATCCAAGGCATTTATGGAGATGTTGAAGAGCACAGGGCTGGGGATGGAGCCCTGTGGGAAACCCATCAGTGACAGGTCACCAGTCCAATGTCACCCCATTCCCTGTAACCCTTTGTGCCTGACTGGTGAGCCAGTTCCTCACCCATGGATTGATGTGTTTATCCAGCTGCGTGCCTGACATTTTGTCCAGAAGGATACTATGAAAGAAAGTATTGAAAGCTTTACTGAAATTAAAAAAGATTACATCAGCTGGATTCCCTTGATCAGCCAGATGGGTTACCTTGTTGTGAAAAGGAATCCGGTTTGATAAGCAGCACTTTCCTGCCATGAAGCCATGCTGGCTCTGACCAATGACTGAGTTATCTTTCAGATACTTTTCAATATTGTTTGAGGAGAAAGTTTTGTTTTCTTAATGCCTTTTTAGCATATGCTTTGGTTTCTGGTGTTTTTTAGTCTTTGATCTTTCTGAATATTTAATTTGGGCACTTAGGTAAACTTAATAAGGGCTAGATTCTTAAACATGCAGGGAGAGATATAAAAAGTTTTTTCAACACCCATGTTGCTATATTCTTTCTTTGAGGAAAGTACCCATAAGACTCCCATTAGGGTTTGTCACACTCTATTGAAAAATTACGTTTAAAATTTTACTGCAGTTTGGTGTAGCTGACAGGTGATCCCCTGCTATTTGCATGATCTTTTAAAAGTACATTTTCCCAGTGATTTAAGTATTATGCTAACTTGTTCCTATATATGACTACAGAGAATACTTACAATTCAGTTCTACAAAAATTAGTATTTAATTTCCTGCTTCAAGTGTTTGTTACCCTTTTGTCTGAAGTTTAGAAAAGGATGGCAATTCTTTGTCATTTAAGATGCTGTCAGTTTTAAATAATTTGTGGATTAATTGCTGGTTCTGTTGGAAATGAAGACTAAGTATGAGAGTAGAATTTGTATGGTATTTAAGAGGACAAAACAGTGGGGGGTTTTGTATGGATTAGACTGTTGCTGGCAGTGGACTCTATGACATTTTTCTGCTAGACTGAGAACCTCTTCAGACATACCCATGTGATGAAGGGTTGCTTCTTTCTTTCATTTGAATGGAGGTAGGTAAGGTGCAAATGCTGTAGGGCCATGCTCTGGCCAAATGGTCTGTTTGCCTTCCTTTTGTCTTATGCTACTTCTCAGCTCACTTTTTCTGAAAAAGAACCCAAAGAAGCAGACCAAGAAACCCAAAAACACACACACAAAACAAACAAAACCAAAGACATTGCTCCCCCTCAAAAAAACCCCAAATGAAACCACCAAAAAAGTACAACCCACTCCAAGAGGAAAGGTGCTTTATATAATATTTTGAACATTCCCTCTGCAACCTTTGTGTGCTGTAAAAGGGTCATGGTCTATGCCTGACCTCTGTGAGTATTGGGGAAGAATGTTTGGGCAGAGGATTGAATGGTTGCTGTGAAAATTAACTTATTTAATCTTTCAGTGAATCATATATGCCCCCTTAGAGCACCTAGAACTTCAGAGATGCTTTTGGTGATCTTAACAGTCTTGAGGAAGAATTGCTGCATTTTCCTTTTCATGACTGAACCATGGATTCAGGCACAAGTCGTTCCTTTTTAGCAAATCTTCTTCAAAATGAACTTGTAATTGTGGCCAAAAAAAGTTGAGTTTATAACATGGTTTGCTTTTATGTGTTTGCAAGCCCCACAGAAAATACAATTCATGTGCTTGCAGCTTCACATTCTTTCGATGAGTTGCATTTTGGGAACATGAATGTGTGGGGAGGAAAGAAAATCTGAAAGTGAATTCAGAATTTCTTTTGCTCAGAGCATAGAATTGCTTACTTGTGTACATATATCTATGCTAGTGGTTGAAGATGGCTGATGTGGCTGTTCTTAGCCAGGTTTTCAATGTGATTTAGAAATCTGTAAATGAACCATATTAGAAAGGGTTATTATTTATGGTTAATAGATGTTGCAAACATACAGCCTGTAAGATAATATCTAGAAAATATCAGCAGAAAACATACCTATTATCAATATAGTTCTCAACCATGGGATTTTTTTTAAGGGTAATTTGTAATAATTATCTACTTGTGAGGTGAAGACATAGAACATGGAGATTAATGTGTGACCATATTTGGTCGTATTATAATTTACTCCAAATGTATAAAAGTTGACTTCAACAAATAGAATTGTAAATGCAAATGTAAACATCTGTGCTTGGATATGGTTGAAGCACTAACATGAATGATGTATTTGCAGAGGGGGGGATTTGGTGAAATGCAGCAATCACCCTTGTTTCCTCAGCCCCACCAAATTCCCCATCCCATGGCAAGAGGGTAGCTGCACTCTCTTCCCCCTCTATGGCTGTGTCTTGATTTAGCCAGCTCTCTGTTAATAATTTTTTAATGAGATAACTTTTCACTTTTGAAAATGTTTCTTTAGCTAACTAAAAATATGAATGGATGCAGCCATTTGAAAATGTTGTCTTCTAAGTGACAGGTTTGCTACTTTTTGCTAGAAAAAAGAAACCTTCAAAATCTTTATCTCTTTTTCTGCCTCACTTGTGTCATTTTGTTTAGTCATATCATCTCTGGAAGAGTACACACAACAGGGAATTATATGAGCTTATTTTTAAAATATGTTATATACCACGCTCAGCAGTAAATTTAGTGAAGTGTTCAATTCTTTCCACCTTACCTTAGAAAATACCACATCTTTGAAATGGCATTCATTTTAGACAGATGACCTGGCAAAAAACAACCTATTTCAGCTGGATACTAGCAGGCAGAAATAAAGAATAACTTCCTAGATTACAAACTTGTATTAATAACAGTCTAGGCCTAATGTTTTCTATGGCCATGTTGCCATAAGTAGAAATAACCAAAAACCTAACCAATTAACCAACCAAAAAAAAAAAAAACCAAAAAAAAAGCCCCCCAAAAAGGAAAGAAAAGAAAAAAGTTGTGGGCAAACTTTAAGCAATTCCATGTCGCATTTGCCAAACCATCTCCACATGGGTAATGCATATGCTGAATTGTTCTTTTGTTTTTTAAATCTATTTTTAAAACTTTCTTTATGTGATGCTTTTTAGCAATATTTGATTCCATAAAATGCCCCAGAGACTTGGCTAGTGGAGGGAAAAAATCTGTATCATTGCAGATTGTATCGTGCTGCGGTATTAAGCCTAGAACAAAATTGACTCAGTATTTTAAAAGCAGTCTTTTTCAGGCTAGTGAGCAATTGAAGACAGGCAAATTGACATTTGGGCTTGGAGTGGAGGGAAGATCAGAGTTAGTTATGATCAGAGAAGGGTTATGAGTCAGAAAGCCATGCTGTTGTGTGGCTGACTGAGACCTTGTTTGGTCAGGAAGGTTTTCAAACACAATAGCAACATACTTCTAAAGTTTCTGCTTAGTACCTTTCTGTGGAGAATGTAATTATGAGGGAGATTTCTGACAGCTGAGATTGGAAGAACAATACTTAAACACCATGGATTTTTAAATGGAACCTTTCTGTGCTAATAGTCTTCATGTTAACCTTTTCATTATGTGAGTGAAAGGGCCATGTCTCCCTACTTACTGTGCAGGGCTTTTGTGTTGTTTCCCTTCCCTCCTTCGTCCCCTTCCCCTGCTATTTTTCGCACTGTTTTTTCATTCTCTGTTCAGTGAATGATAACACAAAAGGAATCCATGAATAGCCAGTGCTTCTGTACCTGCAGATACATATGTTACCAGTCCAAAAAATTGTGCTATGCACCTGAACATTAAAAAAGCCTTTTGTCTCCTTTTTAAAATTTTTTTTCCTAAAGAAAAAAGCAGAATGTTTCTAGAATTGC